CTTGGATCGCCTTTTCAGTTTAAAAAAAAATAAAATAAAATGATGAAAATATAAAAAAAATAAAACAAAATAAGTTTCCCATGTGATATGTGGTCTAGTTGTTGGGAAAATTTACAAATATGAATTTCGACTTTATTTGCAAAATCTCTCTAGAATTTAGTAAAATGGGCATAACTTTTGCATACAAACTCGGATTAAAAAGTTTTTTATATGAAAAATCATCTACTCAAACAGTTACATCCAAATTTAATTGGGGGAACCCCGTTAAACATTTTCAAAATCCTCAAAAACCTAACAGAAAAAAAGTTACGGGGCTTTTAAGATCTGGAGGCACCAAAATTCAAAAAATCAAGAAGTATTATGGTCAAACTACTTATTCAAGAGGTATTAGTGTTACTAAATAATTATTCGAGAATATTAGTGTTACTAAATAATTATTTTAGTTTTTGAATTTTGGTCAAATCTGGTCAAACTATGGTCAAACAATGGTCAAACTAATTATTCAAGAAATATTAGTGTTACTAAATAATTATTGTTTTTAAAACAATAGTTTCAAACTCAAACAGTGAAATGTGTCACTTCATGCTTATGGAAAATTCCTGAGGGTTAATAGGATTGACATCTTACTATTGTCATGAAAACAACTAGTGCAGACTTGGAAACGACGGAGAATAGAACCCGGAAGTTAAGCGTGCTCAGGCTGGGGGAGTGGGAGGATGGGTGACCGTTCGGGAAGTTAGATGATTTGGAATGATGAGGGGTGATTAGAGATTAGAGGATAAATTGAGCAGTGATGAGGGGTGGTGATTAGAGATTAGAGGTCAAAAAAATTCAAAAATTTGAAAATAAAAAAAATTCAAAAAAAATCATAAAATTTCCTTTAGTTCTGGTTGGTGTTACCAACCGGGACTAAAGGTGGAGCTCCACGTGGCCGCGGCCTTTAGTCTCGGTTCGTGTAAGAACCGGGACTAAAGGGGAGAGGCATTATTAACGACCTTTAGTCCCGGTTCAAAAACCGGGACTAAAGGGCCTTACCAACCGGGACAGAAGCCCCTATTTCTAGTAGTGCTGGCACAGTGATATCCCTTCCGTCTTTTAGTGTACATCTATCCCGAGGTAGTAGCTCAAAAGACCGAGATCATTCGTCTTGAAAAACTCCTTCATTTGTAGCTTCAACTTTGCAATCACCTCTGCATCTGCTCCAGTAATTAATAGGTCATCGACGTAGATGCCAACTAGTAGACGATCCCTTTCTTGACCTCTGTTATACATTGGATGCTCTAGTGGGGCTTTCTCAAATCCAGGAGAAAGCATCATCTGATCAAGTTTGATGTTCCGCGCCCGAGAGCCTTGCACTTTGTGTAGCTTCAGTACCTTGAGCTCTTCTCCCTCTTTAATGAATCCCGGTGGTTGATTCACATATAACTCTCCATTCAAAAATGCGGATTTTACATCCATGTGATGTATCTTTCATGATTCCTAAGCCGAGAGATCGCTGAGTAATGTCACTGATTCCATCTTTACAATGGGAAGAAACACTCCTCAAAATCCACACATTCCTCTTGCACGTATCCTTTGGCCACTAGACTCGCTCTGTGTTTCACACAATTCCCTTCAGTGTCTTTCTTGAGCTTGAATACCCACTTGAGCGCTTTTTCATTATCGGGAAGATCGACAAGCTCCGATGCACTGTTGTCATGAATTGACCCCACCCCTTCGTTCATTGCCTGACGCCAACACTCCTTAGTATTTGCGTCCTCAAATTTCACCGGTTCCACGGAGCATATAAGGCACTGTCGCCCACTCCGTTGCATCTTTTCCATGTCTATTGTCCGAAGATATTTCTCCGGAGACATGTTGAACACCGTTGGAGATGTTCGGTTGTAGGTGGTGCCCTTTCCTCTACTACATGCAGTTTCAACGTCCTTGCATGACTTAGAGCATCTCTAGTAGACCCCGTAAAGCCGCGACCCGCAAAATAACCGCCAAAATACGGGTCGGCGCGGAAAATCCTGCCCGGCCAGACCCCGCAAACGCATCCGACCCGTAAATTTTTCTCAGGGACACGGTAAAATCCCATCCCCAACCCACGAAAACGCAGGTTTCCACCACACCCCGACGTGCCCCATATCCCAGGAAAGCGGTTGGCGGGAGGGACATTTTAGCCCGCGCCCTTTGCCCATCCTCTCCCGCCGCCGCTGGCCATTGGTTCCGCCCGTACACCGCCGGCGATTCCGGCCAAATCTGTGGGCGGAATCGCGTCGCGGGGGCACCCCTACCCTCTTCCACCGAGTCTCTTCATCGGCTCCCTGGAACCGCCGATCCGAGCCGCCCCTAGTCGCCTTCGTCGCTCGGGATCCACCGCCACAGAGCCACTGCCCCGAGCAGTGGTATGCACATTGGTTTAACGCGGCGGTGCAAATAGTAGATGGAATTGAGCCCGTGCGAGAAGTTTTTGCTTGAGGATTCGTCCGATTCTAACGACTCGGATGTTGAGACGCTGCTTCTCAACTATCGCCAGCAGACGTTGATGATGCCCCTCGCCATGAAGGAGCACGAAGATGAGAACCGAAAGAGGCGGCGAGGATCGACCGTCGGCCGTCTTTGCATTCCTCGAAATCGCCATCTAGGAAATGATATGTTGATGCAAGACTACTTCGCAGAGAATCCAGCATATCCACCGCACCTCTTCCAGAGAAGGTACCGAATGCGCCGATCCTTCTTTGTAAAAATTGTTCAAGCTTGCGAGGCCAATTGTCGGTAATTTACTCAAAAAAGAAATGCCCCGGGCTTGAAGGGATTTAGTGCATATAAAAAAATCTCGGCAGCTATGCGGGTAACTGCATACGACATTCCTGTTGACTATGCCGATGAGTATCTTCGCATTTGTGAAGATACTACTATTGAATCAGTGTCTTAGGTCATGAATATCTTTGGGCACCCAACGAGGAAGACGGAAAAAAATTGATGGCATCTAATGAGAGAAGAGGTTGGCCTCGCATGCTAGGAAGCATAGATTGTATGCATTGGACTTGGAAAAATTGCCCAAAGGCATGGCAGAGAATGTATTGTGGCAAGTCTCGTGATGCAACAATTGTGCTAGAGGCCGTAGCATCTGAGGATTTACGAAAGAGCATTCGGGGTTTTGCAATCTAGGTTTGCTATTGTTCGTGGTCCTGCTCGTTTTTGGGACAAGCGATCCTTGAAAAACACCATGACATGCTGTATTATTCTTCATAATATTATTCTTGAAGATCAGAGAGGCATGGACTTGGATTTCTTCTAAGAAAATGTGGGTAGCCGTCTCAAACTAGCTAGAGACCCTATCCGCATTAGACCTTTTCTTCAGACCTACCGAGAGATTGATAATGCAAACACTCACCTTCAGCTTCAGGAGAATCTCATTTAGCACCATTGGCAAAGGGCTAGGCAGTAACACATTCCTTTTTTCCATTCATTTTCATTTAATTCATGTGTGATTTGTATTCGGGACAAGTTTTATATTGAATTATTCAGTTTGCTTCGGTGATTTGAATAATTATTGTAATTTGGATGATTGTTGTATTGTAATTTGGATAATTTGAATTATTAGTTTGCTTCGGTGTCAAATTCAGATAAAACCGCATCTGATATGCGGGCCGACGCGGGGCGCTGGCAGAGCAGACGCGAAACTGTAAAACAGAATATCCGTGAATATTCCATTTTATAGTTCCTTATGTGGGGTCTGCTCGGCCGGCGCCCGTGTCGGCCCGCAAAACCGTTTTTCCACGAACTGTAAATGAGTTTTGCGGGTCGGCGATATACGGGGTCTACTAGAGATGCTCTTATCGGCAGCACCAATATCGGGTTTAACTCCAACAGTATAGATATAAGTAGATGATTGCATGCTGAGGTAGGACATATATCCCATTCATAATTGTACGATGAGATGCATGCTTGCCTGTTAAGATAAATATAAGTTATCCTGCAAAAGAAAAAGAAAAGGATAAATATAAGTTATCCTGCAAAAGAAAAAGAAAAGGATAAATATAAGTTAGTGAAGATGACTCTTTTAGGTACGTAGGACGTCATATCATTACTAAGCATTGTAATGGGTAGGCGCTAGTGGGGTTCACGTATCACACGTGGGCGGGAAAATGGGCCCTGCATGTGATAGTTTCTTTGCCGGGTGCTTTATGAAAATATGCATAGGATTAGCTGCATCATGGATCTCGAAGCCACCGTCGCCCGTATGGATCGAGCGATTACTAAACATATGTCGTGATAAAACCGTCAGATATGGCGATTTCCTTGTTTCACAGATGACCCATGTGGTAGTAACGTGGACTAACTAGCTTTAGCATTGTTAACTGTAAATAAAAGTGAAGTAGCAACTCAGCCACCAGTTCACCACCGTGCCTAAAGTTAAGCATGATGGTACGTAGTCTTGATTAGTTGGGCTCCTTTTGCTAAAGCCCGAAGTGATACTACTAAAGCAGCCAATGCTTTGTGCAAAGCACACTATAGTAGTCTAAATGAAGCTAAACCTAATGGTAGTCTAATTAAGTGCACTTGGCAAGTTCGCCCTTTGAACATTCACTATGTTATCTTATCTTGCGCTCACCACGTGATAATACAGCAAGAAAGAGATGTCGATAAGATCGAAAGCCGGCTCTTGCTCTTGTTCTTCGTCTTCCTCTACACTGCATATTTACACATGCAAGAATTGAGAAGCACAACAAAGAGCGCGCAGAGCTAATTAAGCTAAGCTAGGTAAACAAGGTAGTCCACTTGGTTGCAGGAGATGGCGTGGGTGGGGGACATGAAGACGAAGCTCGAGGACGCTGAGCTGCCGGACAAGGTGCAGAGATGGCCGAAGCACTGCATTTTCAGCGTCCCACCGCGCTTTAAGATGGTCGACAGCAGGTAACTAAGCGTCCCGCACGCCACACCACCCGCATCGATTGTGCATATATGTAAGTATTATGCACGGTTTGTTTTTTACTGGCGTATGGAATGGCAGCGTCTACAAGCCGCAGACTGTGTCTCTCGGCCCATTCCATCATGGCTCTCAGGACCTGAAATCCATGGAGGAGCACAAGTTGAGGGCTGTCCGTCACCTCCTGGCCCGGGACAGCTACATAACCTCCCTTGAAGACCTTGTCAGGGCCGTGGAAGAGGTGGCCGACGAGCTGGAGGACTCCTACATGGACCTAAGTGGAGAGTGGCGTGGCAAGGAGAACAGGGGCAAGTTCCTCGAGATGATGATCACGGACGGCTGCTTCCTGCTGGAGGTGATGAGGACGGACGCGACCCAAAAGGAGGACTCCCTTGTAAAGGGCTATGCGCACGACCCCGTCTTCAGCTGGTATGGCATACAACACATCAAGCCGTTCGTCCAACGTGACATGCTCTTGATAGAGAACCAGCTGCCACTCAGGTTGCTCCAGAGAATCGTTGCCATGGAGGAACGCAACTCTCCGGTAAGTACAGCATTATTGTGATCTTGAGCTTTTTCATTGAGACAGCTGATCTCGCTGGCCGTCTGTGTGCCTTGTCAATGATGATGGATGAACCATGCATGCACGCAGAGGCAGAACACAGATTCCATAAATTCCATGGTGCTCAAGTTCCTGGGGCAGAAAGATGCACAGCCCAGATATGAGTTGGGACTCCACCCGCTCGACATCTACCGGACGAGCCAGTTCAGGGGCATCCAAGAGCATATTAACACTGCCAGTTGTCTGATGATCCATCATCAACATATGATGCGGGAGGAGACCCATCGTCCACAGAGACCCCTGGCCCGATCTGCGCGGGAGCTGACCGAGGCAGGGATCCGGTTACTGCCCATAGAGACAAGCCGCCTCAACGACTTCTGGTTCGACAGGAGTGATGGGACGCTCCAAATGCCCAAGATCCAGGTGCATGACTCCACCGCCTACATGTTCCGCAACATGATGGCGTTCGAGGTGCTGCGCGTTGGCACCACCAACGATGTGACGGCGTACGTCATGTTCCTCAAGGACCTCGTCGACACCGCCTACGATGTTCACCTACTGGTGAGGAACGGGGTCCTGGAGCACGACCTTGCCAACGACAACGCCGTGGTGAGGCTCTTCAACGGCCTCACCAGGGACGTGACAAGGAACTGGGAGAATCAGCTGGCGTACATGAAGGTGCGCGAAGACGTGGAGAGCTACTGCACGACACACCGCCGCAGCAACTGCGTGCGCCTCTTCCTCAATGAATCCTGGGCCTACCTCATGACCAAGTACTTGAGGAACCCCTGGACAGTCCTTGGCCTCGTCACCGCCACCTTGCTCCTCGTCGCAGATATCGTGCAGGCCGTGTATGCAGTCAAATCGTACAAAGAGGGCAAATGAATGTATTAACCAGAAGCATTTCATACATTTGCTGTTTTTATTCAATTGTTTTGAATTATTTCACGTGGATTTTATTCTTTCAGGAAATTTAATACAATCAGTCATATTTTAATTGAATACTCTCCTGCGGACACATCCACTTGAACGGCTCCACGTGGATGAACCTTTGTGTGACATGGCTCCCACGGGCTCTTCCTCTGGCCCTTTCTTAGAGCATCTCCAATAAATGATGCAGATGGAAAAATAACTAACTTAGGGCATTTCTAACCGACCCCCTATCCCGTGTTAGAGGAGTGAAAAGTCGGTTTTACCCCTCTAACGCGCACCTAACTGATCCCCAATCGGCCATAAGGGAGGAAAAAATCTCCACCGGCGCCAACTTTCTCCTTAAATATACTCGGCCGCTGCGGCCCCGAGTAAAAGTCTCGCCTCTCCCTTGCGTCGCCCCCCATCACTGCATCTTCGCCGGCGCACCTCCTGGCCCCAGCCGCCCTTCCGCCCGACGTCGAGCCCGTTCAGCCCCCTCGCCGTCACCAGAACCAAGGTGAAACGCCGTCGCCGTCCCCATAGCGGATTCGTTGGATTGCTTTGAAATTTCTTCACTTTCTATGGGCTGGACCCGGCGCGCGCATGCCAGCCT